TGTAAAATATTTAAATAAACCTTAAACCTGTAATCCAATTGTTTTTACGTTATTTAATGAAAATGTGTAAACGTGCGAGATGGTTTGTTAACATTTTAGACATTTGTGAATTTATATATATATATATATATATATATATATATATATATATATAGGGAATGTAAAATAAGTATTAATTGTATAGAAATTTTTTTATTATTAAATTATGTTGAACTAATTAAACATTGATAATACTTAACCTAATAGTCATCACCAAACATAAAAAGAATATCTTTCTGCTTTATGAATTTTCATCTTCAGTAAACAGTTTAATTCAACAATAATACACTGTTGTATTGAAAAAACGTCAAAAAAATATTAAGTGAAACTTCTTTGAGTCGATTTTTTTAAACATAATTATTTGAATTGATATTTCAACACATCTTATAATGCGTGAAAATGATATATTTAATTATGAAATTGAGGTAGTTTGTATTAATATAATTTTATTTCCATGATCACATGTTGGTAGTTCATATGCATAAAAATTACTTATACGTACGTAGATTGCTGATGAAATATAACAAACAAATATATAGTTACATTTTGTAAATATACCGGTTTCTTTCATGGAAACTTTTTTTCCTCTCTCGATAATCACATATTTGTTAAAATTCTGATATGTCGTTTCAGTTGCTATGGCCTTAAGCGTCTTATACACATTACTGTGAAAACATATCAGGGACATTCTTTGCATTGCTATGTGTGGTTAAGATTTAATTATTTCATTTTAAAAACCAACAACCACTTTAAAGTTGCTGACAAAAAAGGCAATTTGTAACAAAAAGTATTCATTGCATTCAAAAGAAAAACGTTGGATTGTTATTTCTTAGAGTCCATTACATGGATGGACAAAAATATTGACCATCCAGTACAACAATTATAATTCAATAAGGACATTGATAGTGTTGCAGTATTTTAGAATGTTTTTATTTTTTGTCAGGATGTGAGGATAATTTCAGCACAGTCTCCAACTAAAATCTCTTATCCTGTACTTAATGTAATCTGTAAATAACTTAATTATAATATTTTTGTTGAGTTCAAAAAATGGACGTTTTATGGCGTTTTTTGAAGTGTTAATAGTTTTCCCAGGTGTAATGACAGTTCTGTTTTATGCCTGAGATTATCCGATACTGCAATTTCTTCTTCTTCATGAGTTAACTTTATCTTATGTATTTCCTTGCAATTGTTAAAAGACAATAGAACGAAAATGGGATTGCTTTTGATTGTAGAGTAAACATCGTGACATATAATGGTGTTGTCTGATGATGTTGCAGCATTCATTGCTTTTTCAGGATTATACACTGTCTGCTATTATTCGAGATAGTGTCTACTATGATCATTCTGCTCGATTCTGTTAAAAGTGTCTCATATCTGATTTTCATATTTACATCTAAATTTTCAAAAATTGCAAAAATTAAATTTTTGTAAACCCTCTTCAGCAACTGCAGTTTTGAAGCTAGAATTTTTTCTTAATGTAATCTTGTCGTTAAAAATAGATCTTTATATAATGTGTTGCTTATGGTTTCAAAATATGAATAGTTTTCACACAATTTTGAGTGAAATGATGGCCATGTACAAATATTGGTAAGCACAATTTTCTGGTAGACAGTCGAAAATGTTTTCTTTAAATATTTTGGTCACAGAGTAAAGTTTTCTCGGTAATATGGCATAGATTCTACTTTCATTAAGAATTTAGGAATTTTGAAATTTGCTAAAAATCTTTTTTCAGTCATTTTACACTTTTAATACTGAAACTAGCGATTTTTTATACACTGCACTATATTCCCGAATATTAGATATGTAAATCATTTATTTACATTTTTTATTTATTAAAAGCATTTCGCAAGTTTTAAATTATGCGGTGACAACTTTCATTGTTTTCGAACATGAAAGTTACCACACTTTCAATATTAGAGCTAAAGATTTCAATCTTAATGCAGATAATTTATCAAATTTAGGTTGTTAAATCATTTCATATACATTTCTTTTCACACATGAGCAGTTATCGCGATTTCGAGATAATTTAAGTGTAAACACTAATGAAGAATTTATCAAAGTATGCTCAGACTGGAGGTTAAAGTGTAATTTGTGTAAAGCAATGTGTTTTGAAGAAGTTCGCCTTCAGATTTCAGCATTTCTCAATCAGTCGACGATAAAGCAAATGACAAGTAGCTTTCATGATACTGTCGAACCAATTTTTGACCGCACATCCTTCCATCAACAAAAGACACTTTATTCGAGACCTTCCTTGCTAAAATATTTTCTCCTATGCTATGTAGCGCCGTGCACAAACAGATGCAGGCGACCATGTGCTCGCCGCATGGCAGACCACTTGGGTTAAGGGCGGGGCGTCAGGATGTGACGTAGCGTAAAATCACCCAGTGAACGAGTTGTGGGCGCAGCTAGCCCAGCTAGCCGGCTGCGACGTTTGACCGGTACCTTTCCTCTTCGAGGAGCCGAGCTGTGCGGATCGGAGGCAGCGCGCCGGGTGGGGGGCGGACCGCGTGCGCGTACGGCAATGGACTTGGTCGCGAGGTACAGGGTCGTTAGACTCTAGTGACGAGTCGTGTAGGAATTCTGCGGTGCTTCACACGATCGGATCTATTCGATATTTAAGTAGAGGGTGTGGTAGCCGAAGAAGGAAAATTACTTCTAGTAGAGGGGTCGATTTATTTCGTTTATGTAACTATTGTGGATAAGGTTTATTTCGGTGGTGGATTCATGATTAATAAACTAACAATAAGTTCAACCCACTCTCGTCTGTGTATTATTGACTCTGCATGACGCCACACCATCATCAACATTAGCACTTAAACTCATGCCAGTCAATTTGGTATGTCACATAGTTTAGTTAAATGTTTGCCATGTCACTTAGTTCACTTAAATTAAAAAGCGATCTACTTTGAATTCAGAACAGGATCAGAAACATAAGCACAGCAGCGGCTAGCGCTGGCACAAGCCTGGGCCCTAGAGCAAATGTGCCCCGCAAAATGGCGTCATTTGTGAAAGGTTGGCAAACATTTAGGTATTACTCACGCAACTTTTCTGGAACGATGGATTGAAGAAATGCTGTTAGAGGGGGTATTAGTTACGAAATCAGCCACTAAATTTTAGGCAGCATTGCCAATCTAGAGAATCAGTCATGCCTTCTCAACGTTCTCAATAACTCGCGTTCTAACTTTCTCAGGAGTTCAAGGTATCTCCAGTGAATGATTTTTACCTGATTCTGTCATTTCTTTAGATTTTTTGGAGAAAATAGCGTGTAGAAGTTCTCGCCTTCAAAAGAAAATTATTTCTATTTCGGGCCAGTGAAAATGTGTTTGGAACGTTGTCATCAGTGCTCGCTTCGATGTTTTACCATCAACTGTTTATTGTGCGAGAGAGAGGGAAGCAAGGCCATCGTTCAAGAAAAGTTGCGCGAGTCATATGTTTTAACATCTGCATTACTTCTCCCCACCTGTCAGCGCTCATGACAGCTCTCTGGCATCCTCTCTTGATGGCGGCACACCTATGGAGGTCACATAGCACACCATGTAACCGCGGCATATCGAAGAACATTAGTATTCATCAAAAAGTTTAGTGCTAAAATCATTAGTGCTCATCAAAAAGTGAATTACTGATATGAGAAGAATCGCGTTTCTTAAACTGTTGTAAACATAAGATGAATAAATGATATTATTACTGCGTATTTACGAAAATCGATCAATATGAATTACAAACGGTCTTACAGTCATAATAACCACTCAAAATAAACGAGTTTCTAATACTCCTGTCATTGAAAGTTGTTGAGGCTGTGAAATATTGCTTATCTAATTGGGAGATAATTTGCAGAAACTGCAACGAGATGTTCTGTACATCGCCTTTCTGTGTTCGCGACAGGCGAGAAGGTTCTGAAAAGATGACACATATTTGATAAGATTAACCTTTGCCGTTTCAGTCACTAAGTATTGAAGAAATTGTGATGGTTACCTTTGTCCGGACGAAAAAAACGTTCTCCTTACGAATTATATCCGTTTATCATATTTCCTTCGTTTTGCCGTATCTCAGAGAGTCTGAGGGTCACAAACATTGCATTAATGTGATAGGAATTGCTTGCCAACGTAGCGAACTAAACTTTCCGTGCGCTCAATTCACGTATTACTTAGCTTCTCTGCACGACTGCTATGAAACTTCCCCACGGCTCCAGATTCACAAACAATACGATCTCGCCACGTGTTATGTGAAAAAATTGGATTCCAGGGAATGTGGCAATGGATCGTGGCCGCCCAGGTGGGGGTGCGATCTATTGGTCACTTTTGGAAGGTCCGTTGCAAAGAACTTGCATGTCGAATGAATTTTCTGCTGTTTGTGAGGGAATTCGCGGTTGTTTTTTTTTGGAGGCAAGATTAAACGCAGGAAGTTTAAATGTATCATCTTATCTTTTTAAATGTTTTCAAAGAGTAGCGAAACTGAGTTGCTCTAAGCGTGGCGCCAAATTTGAATTCATTTGACTGCCCATACGCCAACAACAGTATTTGGACAATGGAAATATGCAGACCTTTCGAAAGAAGTAAGTTGCTTCCTTGATGATCTTTCTGCCTGGAAATATGCACCATAAATCCTCATTTGTCATGTTTTTCCCTTTGTAATTTAACGGTAAAACACCCAAAAAATTATGTTCCTAGACGTATCATAGATCACAAAAATACTTGTGGTGTAAGAAAAAATGTATAAAATGTATATCAAAATATGTTAATCAAAATAAAATACGATTTGATAGATTGAAAACCTAGTAATTTATTATTTAAACCATTTTAAAAAAAATCCTTTCCGATCTTTGCAAAGAATCTTAAATGTACTTTAATTAAATTTAATTAATACAATCGCGGGCTGAGTGAAAATGGCTAGTGTTCACTATAGGTTATAAAAAGAATAAATATTTTATTTCACTAATAATATTTGGTATAATCATATAAAACATTATTAATGTACTTTCCAATACAATATGAGCATACAATTGAATATAATTATTACAAAACAATACGATATTTACAATACATTATGATTATTATAATTACAATAACAATATCAAAATTACAATACAATATTTGTATGAACATAAGTCGCATCACTGTAGCTTCCTCTTTCAGAAATATTTTTGTTGTAGGTACTATTGAAAAAGTTATGCTTATGCTTATATGCAGTTTTTAAGTAAACGAAATTTGTAATTGATACTCTGATATCAAAAAACATAAGTAACAAAAGCACAACAAACATACGAAAGATACAAATCCAAGTAAAATGTCTTAAAAGTAACTCTCAAGCGAGGGGAGGTGGCTTACGTCAACACGCCCTTCTGTTTCTGGGTGGATTAACAGAGTAATTGTAAATATCCATTGCATGAAAGCATAACTATGATGGGCAAATAATGAGAAATGGATGGTCATGAATGAATGCATTGAATGAGATGGGATACATGGCACAGTGAAAAGTAAGCATGCAACAACCTTGCTGGAAGAGTCCTTGGTTTTGTAACATAACGCGGGATTCCAAACCTCGTTTTTCAGTTCCATTCGGCATGAACCTGTCCTAAGCCTTCACACCAGCGAGACCGACATGGACAACGTAACAAGGAAAAATAATAAATTAAATGCTTAAAACGTACTTAAAAGTGCAAATACTCGATGTCTATAATAGAAAACAATACATTTCTATTCAAATGATCTCAATTTTCATGAAATGTGAATGTAACTAGTTTCAAATAGAAAACACTATTTCCTGTCACTTGTCGATAGCTAAACCCGTTCTCTGTCAATTTGCGTTAGTACCATTGCAATAATCATTATCGAAGTCAAGGGCAATGCAGATAAGGCGACACCTGAACATTTCTTTGCGCACACTCCATTTGAGCAGCACTTTTCTCCTTTATTGCAGAGTGTATGCCAGCACTTCTTCTCCGGTTCAGTAGTAGTGGAGAAATCGTCCTTAGAAAGATTGATAAAATTAAATCAAGCTACATTCGGCATATTAACAGTTATTTTGATCAAATTAATCAATAAACATGATTGCACTACAATCTCTTAATAAAAATCAATGAGAGATAATTGATTTTTTTTAAATTTGGCACATAAATATCTCGTTACAGATTAATTATATTGCAAATGCTACAAATGCCCATAAATTTAAATTTATGTAAAATCTCTGATTAACAGCGTACCTGTTATTGTTACAAACATTTTCGTTGATAAAATATTTTTACGTATGATATTTGTTTTAATATTATTAGGGATACAAGTACAGAGATTCTGTTTCTATATTTAATTTAATCTGTACGTTGCGTGCTTATTTCGCTATTTAATTAATCAATTAGTAAATACATAAATAAAATAATAAATGGATAAATGAATAACAATAAATATTTTCGCTTAAATATTATCAATGTTATGAAGTGTATACAAAGAATTTTAATTCTTGAAGATGAACGCACATCATCAAAATGACACATTAACTAGAAATTCAATCCCATCTGAATATTCCTTTTCAATGACAATGAGCAGTTAACGGTGAATGAAAATTCCATGAAGGCAAAGGTTTAGTCATGAGCTGACTTTGAAGAAAAAAATTACTTATTCAATTGAATATAGTTGAAGATCCATAAATTCTTTGAATTCAATGGAAAGTAAAAATATTAATGCAATATTTTAAATTTTACAATACAGTACTTTTGTATTTTTTAATTTTTCAAATGAAATATCCAATATGTGTGTCTGTTTTTCTTCTAAGTTGACTACATCAATTCTCATGATCAATTTGCAGACTGTATCAAGGTAGCAGTTACAGGTCTTCAATGCAGTTAATGGGATAGTATGATATTGTTATTCTGTATTTAATAATTCAGAGAGGATACCTTACCCAGTCACATGATGAATCAGGGCATGTATTTTTAAATTCCACGTCTGTTTCATTTGTCCAATGGTCCAGTAACCAATGATCTTCGGAGCACGAACATGCCAAAGGAGTAATGGATATGTCCAACACTCGTAAGGACGACAAGTGAACGATAGTCGATAGATTGAAAGAATTAAGGGCATTGTTATTAAGGTACAGCTCTTCCAGGGCAAGTGTACCAGAAAAAGCATCACTCGTCAAGGAAAGAATATTGTTTCCAGACAGATCAAGTATTCGGAGGTTAGTAGATGAGATGAACAGACCCTATGAAAATCCATACAAAAATGTCATCAATTAGTAATAGGAATTATTTAGTTTTTGCCCCCAATGTTGCAATTTTAAGTTGTCAATACCATAACTAAACATTTTACGTATTATTCATTATTTTATATGCTAGGACCCTAACAATCAAAACAAAATTTTAATAACATTTTGAGTAGAAGTTTTAACTGAGGCATCTGATATACATGGTATTTCTGAAAAAATCATAATTTAATTTTAATTATACACACGTAAATTTTCAGCGTATATATGTTCAAATTTTGCTCAATTTTTTTAATGTCGGGAGGTCGAAAATGTAAAACAATATTTTTTTATGAATCCCTTAATAAGAAATTATTTCACAAGTGACGTCTAACATGTCATACAATGTAAAGGCTAGTTGATTGCGATTGATACGCAATGATTCTGAAGTGTTTTTACGTATTCTCTAACAGCAATGATTACCAAAACCGGAATTTCATTATTGTTTTGGTTTTTAATTTAAACCTTACTTTCCCCTTCCTTCTTTATGTCGTACTTTGCGTTTTATCTACGCTGCCTACTAATATTTCTTCAAAATTATTTAAATAAAAACCTTTACGGATGTTTTCTTCAATTTTTCTTCAAATTAAGTCGGTTCTTTTTAACCATATTACCACTCTCGTTCATGTGTACGTATTTTTCATGAAGTTTCACGTTTGTATATTTAATTTTAATACCTCTCATCATTCTCATTGTCTTGCAAATCGTTCTCTCAAGATTTTTGCGTATTTTGTTTCACTTAACTCCAGCGTAGAGCATCAACATTTACTTTCAGGGGTACCAAGAATAAAGGAGTATGGGAGTCACTCGAAAGGAGGAGATTAAAATCACGTCTCTATGCTATGTATAAAGCGTAAACAGGCCTTCGAGCGTGGAAAGAAATTCAAAGTCGATTAGGGAAACTTACATATTTCGGCAGAGAGGATTACATGCACAAAATTTAGAAAACGGACGTTGGGAAATATTCATTCGCGAATCGAACTATTAGAGATTGCATGTGACAATCTTCGATCCTGGAAGACTGAGCAAATTTAAAAACAAATTAGTTTCCTGAATGTTGATATGTGTATTATAAATATATTTAATATTATTCAGTGTAAGTAACTATGTCAAGTTAATTTGTAAAGTTTGTAAATTTTGAAAAGTTGTTAAGTTCTGTAATGTTAAGATAGTGTTTTCTGCCACCAAGTTCTGAAACTTAATAGCAGAATTATTAATAATTCTAATCTAATTTAAGATAAAATAAAATATGAAAGGTTAGAAGACCGTACTCAAGTTAAATTATTAAAGAACTACTGATCCTCAAAGCAGCACCGAAAAAGTAGCGTAATTATATGTAGAGAGCACTGAATCCCACTAGCGAGACTGATGATGTCGGAACAGCGGTCGAAAGACGGATGCTTCAATAAATCTACGTTGACAATAATGACTTCAGTTATTTCATCTTTTAATAATGTCAACAACACCTCATCAGCATTTCCACAAGGAATTATGTGCTGTCTACCGCTGTCCAAGTTATAAGAAACCCGCCCTTGGAAACACACGCACAGTTCTTCGCAATACACCTGGATGAAACCAGGTTCTTCGAGAAAACCCCGTGCATTTCTTCCAATTAGGCTAAAAAGTCCGGAGTAAAACGACAATAAACATAAAAAATAACAGGCGAATTGCAACAAATTACATATTTTTTGCCATAAGCTAGATTTTCTAATTAATCTTTTCACTTGATTAACATCAAATCAATTCTTCATCGTGTATGTTAAGATATATTTGTGCTCATTTAAAATTAGAAAGCATTTATTTATTTTTTGTGTTTCGTTCCTCGAAGCTTTAGGGTCATAGCTCATAAAACAAGTGAAAAGTACTGATGAACATTTACCTCTATGCCGAACAGGCTGTTTCTTGAAAGGTCCAATTGATCCAGGTTAGGTAACTCGGAGAAAGCACCGGCTGGCAATTCTTTACTTAGTCCGCAAGATGACAGGAAGAGATGCGAAATTGTCTCGTGTGAGAATAAGGGGCCACCAGACGGCACCAATAGCAAAGTTCCTGTCAAATCCAGCGTTTGTAGAACAGGCATACTCTCAAAAACATCTGGGTCGAAGTCTTTGAGAACTTTGTTGTGGGACAAATCAAGTATTACCAGTTTTTTTAGGTTGCTTCCATCAATATTTAATGACTCCACATGATTGTGAGACACATTCAATGTTGTAAAACCTTTTGCCATTTCAAACCATTCGGAATTTAGTTCCTGTAAACAAACATCATTTCACATAGATAAAAATTTATCTTTAAAAGGTATAAAAAGTTAATGCAGCGTTGAAATAATAGAGTACAAAAACTTTTAAAAACTTGAGACCACATGTTGCCAGAAATACTCAAGACTGTCGAAACAAATATTAAATATAAACCATTGGGGAAGAACAGTGAGTAGACCTACGAAATAAGGTCTGAAGAGATAAAGACAGAACAGACTCCAAGTCTATCCTTGAAGAAGAAGATAAGAGTTCAAGAAATGAACCGTCCGGCGACAGGCTCCGATGATGCCCTTGGAGTCAATTGAGCAAAGATCGCAAAAGTAAATACCTTATTTTCAAAAAAAATCTTAATTAAAATGCTGTACACTAGCTGAACTGGACTGAACTGTGCGTTATATAATATTATAGTGCTGGATAAACATTCTAATATTCTTAAGCAGTAAGATTAAATTGCAAAGAAAACCAAACATTTCCATTTTATCGTGAAAGATAAGTTCGTCTCCGTTCCATATATTTTGTTTAAATTTTACTATTTTGCATACTCATTATATCAAAATTATTGACATTTGCATACTCATATCAAAATTCATTTTGCAGAACACATGATTAAATATTGAAACATTTTTTGTTTATAAAAAATCGTCGTATTTTTTCTTACGCATATTGGGAATTCTGTGTTGATGACGCGAGGTGCCTCACTGTGAAAACGCGTTTTGGGTAATGGTTATGTTATCTTTGCTGAAACTTATTATATGAATTCGAGTATCTGCGTGGGCAAATATTTTCTGGGTTGCTAATTTTAGCAGTTCAAGTGGTATAATATTACGTAACCATTACAAATAATTCGAGAAAATACGTGACAATTTAGTATCACTAGTTTATTAGATCAGCCATTGACTTGCTTGACCGTACATTATTATATCTATTCTATCAAATACCACGATAACATAATATGATACACAAATGTGTTGGAGTGCCTACACGTTTTAAGAGTATTCTCGCAACAATAATCTTCCGGTGTGGTTCATTCTAGAGAGTTTTTGCACATCAACGCGCTTATACATAAGCGGAACTGGCTATTACACGTAACACCGGACACACCGGGTTTATAACCATGCACGGTCGTATTACGACATATTTCTGCAAAATATTATGTATTACATTGAAGAAAGTGTTGGATTTTACTCTGTACGAGAATGGAAGCCATTAAGGAGGAATATTGAAATTCCTGAATATTGAAAAACTCTCTACTATTGTGTTTTCATGCGCAGCGATGCATGATAATGTGCTCTGAATTATGAGTGGCCGAAAGAAAATGTCGTAAGGGGCCAATAGTGTGGATTTTTTTAACAAACGTGAGAAAGTATTCTTTTATTCGTTGCCAAAAACAGGTCAATAGCCAGTGTTTCATGAATAACTTTAGGACGCAAAAGTAAAGTTTCTTAATAAAATAATTTAATCACAAGAACGTAACAAGTAATTAAGCTTTTTTAATTGAATATTCTGATAAGGTATAAATGTGAGCCGTATATAAATACGATTAGGTTTAATTGATATACAATTTAAGTCATTTCAGGTGGAAGTTAATTAGATGAACAAAAGTTTCTGTCTTTTGTACTGAGAAACGCTTCGTTCCAACGCTGTTTCTGCTATTTCTTGTCTATTTCTCTTTTCCTTCACTTTTCAGAAAGCTGTAATTATAGTGGGTTTCTACTCTAAGGCTAGTTGTAAGTGTTACTGCAGAAATAATACTGTTCACGGTTACAAATGAAGAAAACTGCATTACAATATTGCCGACACTAAAAAACGATGAATACTTGCAATTTTCAAAGATTCGGGGATTTGAATGAAAATCAGATATTCAGTTTTGAAGTGTAATCTGATAATCGAAGTTTATGGAAAAAATTAAGAAAACATTTATGTAGAAATACATCTTGTTTACGTTAATTTTAAATGTTGTAACTGTTTCAATAAAATTACTGAGAAAAAAAATAAATTTTCAAAAAATATTACATGCCATTATTAAAATAAATAATTTTAAAGAAATTGAGAAAAATCTGTATCTAATTTTTTGTACAAAGGAAAAAAACTTTAAACTTTTGCAATTTTTCAAAATTTAAGGACTTCAATGAAACCTATTTCTATAAATGTATTTAAAAAACGTTAGAATTATTTTAAAGAAAATTATTGGATCCACTTTTGAATAAATTTTGAAAATGTTGAAGCTTCATGTTGAATTCCCCCTCAAATCAACATATCCGTTTCAAAATCAAGGGGCCACGACATCAAAGCGGTCAATTTAGAAATATCAAATTCATGAAAATCTTGTGAACAGTGTTGGACAGATGTTTTGCTATAAAGTAATTTGTATGTATCAAGAAATCCACAAAACGTGGATCGTGACGACACAACGTAATAAAGGAAGAACTTTACTACACAGAAGCAAAAAGTATCCAATTTTTTGGTATTACGACACACAAAACAAATTTTCTATTGAAAAATGGAAGTTTTTCGCTGCAACCTTGGGTAACTTCCTACGAGAAAGTCAAAAGAAACAAATCAAAATAGTGGCCCTGCCTTGAAAAAAATTTAGAGAACAAAAAAGAAAACTGTGAAGTATTTTGTCCGTATTTTGCATACCTTCAGTTCATTGTTGCTTATATCCAAAGTGATCAAATTTGACGTGTTTGGTAGGACATTCTTGAGAGTTGTCAGCTTGCAGCCGGTCATTGTAAGCATGATAAGACTCTTTGCTGAAAGCTCAACTTTCGAAAGTGGATTTTCGCTTAATTCAAGTGTTGTTACTTGAGGAATATTCAGTTTTGTCAGAGTAGATATCCTATTTCCAGTCAAGACAAGTCTTCTTAACTTGGAGACTTCTGAAAAAGCTTCATCTTCAATATATTGTATTTGATTGGTCGCGAGATTGATGTATTCGGCGTCAGGGAAAGCAGAAAAAATTCCTTTTTTCACTGTCTTAATGTTATTATTATTTAACCAGATGCGATCGACACCACCACATTCATTAAAAGAAGAAATGTCATCGAGTTCTTTCTCTGCGCAGTTAAGAGAATATTGGTCGCACACACAAGGCGCATGAATGCATGTTGTTGGGCATGATAACGCTGCAGATGATATGCACGCTGAAAGCACCAGAAGAAACTGAAAAATAATCAAAATTGGTAGTAAATAACATGCAATTACGTTCAAATCAATTGTGTTTATCTTCTCATGAGCATGTGTGCAAATAATCTAAAAAATTGACGGTTCCCAACAAAACATTGGAGGTATAACAAATTTTGAATTATGAGATGTAATGAATTTAATCTGTGATTTCGAAGGACTTGACGTATTTAATAACGTTTTCGTAAGATATTTTAATATAAACACTCAACTGCATATTATAGAACTGACCCCGACACTACAATCGTGTTATCTAATATATTTGGTTAGCACCGCAATGAATTGAAGATTTTTTCAAAACAACTTTAGTCCAAACAGTGAGATTTTGAGATAACAGAAATATTGCTAAAGGTTCATAGCCGCCATTTGCTAACTGTGTTGTTGTGAACAAACTCATCCCCTGTCCGTAGTTGTTAGCTCCGAAAGTTTGAGTGATTTTGATGAAAGAACCATAGTCCAGAGACCTTTTGGTAAAACAACCATAGTCCTTAAAATATAAGTTTTCTCCGTAATTATTTCTCATGCATAGTTTATCTCAATCTGCAACGGATGATAATGTTTGTTTTGTGAATGTGTTTATTCTTCATAACCAGTGTTCCACCAAGTTTGGTGAAAGTGTATAACTTGTTCTTGTAGCACGTTGCTGTGAATCCGAGCAAGCAAGGGAGAAAGTAACAACAACAAAAATGGATTCTACGTCAGATGTAGAAATAACAGAGTGGAAAAGACGTAAGCCAAAGAAAGGAAAGAGGATGCAAAAAGAGCAAATAATGTTAAAGGATAAGCACATTTTAATCACAAAGGAATGTCAGAAGTTGTCTAAATATTTACCACCTTCTATCAGAGATTTGTTTCTAAATTTTTCATCAGTGACAGATGCTAAAGTGGAGAACGAAAATACTTATAATTGTAACAGCAGTGGAGTAGAACAATAAGTTGGTCAATAATATTCCAAATTGATTAAGTGCATTACCTTATTGCTTTATTCCTTCAAACACTGTAATATTACTGCCACAAATAAATAATTCTGATACACAAATTTCTAATTTTTCGAAAAAAACAACAACATTAGTTCATAAATACTCCACTTTATCCAACAATTTCCACAACACAGTTCAATCTTGAACTACACTCAAGCGTTCATCAGTGTTTTCAATAGCTTGAGATCGTACACAACAATTTTTATGCTTCAAATGTCAGATTTTCATGTTTTAAATGGTAACGAAAAAGTGGATAAATCCAGTTTCTAAATTTAGAAAAAATATTTCAATACGTGGTGTAGCAAGAATCCGTTTTTAGTGAGTCCTTGATACCGAAAAATAGAATGATGGCAAAACGTCTGTCTGTCCGTCCGTCCGTCTGTACGTCCGTACGTCCGTACGTCCGTCCATCCGTCCGTCCGTCTTGTCCATCTCTGAACAACGATAAACCATTCAGCCGATTGTGTCCACAATTGATTTTCTGCAGTCTAACTGGCTGATGTTGCGGCCCCTTGAATTTGAAACTATGTAAATAACTCACCAAAATTAAAACATTAATGTGCCTGGGACATTTTCAAAATTTCAAAAAAATGTCTTTTTTCATGAAATTGTGTGGTGGGATAGTTTGAAGGACGTTTCAGAGAATGGTGCCTTATGTTCGTTGAAAACTATTGTTTGAAAATGGCAAAAATTCTATTTTTTATGTTTTCCTACAACCAATGTATCAAAGATGGATATTTTCTTCCTTTTATGAAATATTTTTCTTGATGATAGATTTTGAAATAGGGTCATATTAATTTTTTAAATAATTTGAATACTTTTACACCAAAGAACGCCATACTTTTCTTCCACGTGGATGGCAACACTGAGTGTTTCCATCTCTAATGCAACAATTGAATCTCTCAGCAGATTTGATTTCATCGCATTTGTAAAACTAAATTTGTGAGAACGTACGAGCAATATTTTCTTTGAACTTATTAAACTTGAAGTGAATATGGAGAAAACCAAGCTGCGAGTAATTCTATAGAAGCGCCTCTACGTTCTTACATTCGACTTCTCACATTTGCATTCTTAAGCGTGCAAATACCGATTTTCAAATGAATGTGACCAACAACTTATTAACTTAACTTACACCTTATGCACATAAACATATAAAACTGACTCCTTTTAATGTTTATATAGATTCGCATATAGAGCAATTGCAGAAGTAGAAGTGAACCCCATTAGACAGACTCTTTGGAGTTTTAATATCTTAAAAAATTAGTGAAACATAATATAGAAGTGTTTTGCAAATACGAGGAAGAATCAAATGTAGTTGTAGAAGATTTTGCGACAGAATTTTCGTAACAAATTCTGAACGACCTTATTAGAAAATAAAGCTGAAGAGCATCTTACAGATGAATTTTTATGTGCATTTTCGTGCGTATGAACAAGACCGTAAAAATGTAGCTGTACTAAATTTTAACCATTCAGCATCATTCATACTTGCCATTTTGTAGCACTACTATTTTCATTGTACACCAGCGCAGGAAAGCATTAACGCTCCACGCAGTCATTTTCACTCGCACACCAGGCTACCCCCCTTTGTTTAAAAATTGTGGACGTCAATATATCATCATATCAATATCTACGCAAAACGTATATGTATGTATACCTTCAGACAACTACGTGTTGGCTAGAGAGACTAATATGAGATTTATCGGGTTACGCAACCTTAAATAACAATAAATATCCTTGCACATTAATGAAATTAATAGAATGTTCATTATTTGTATATTACACATCATGTATCCATTCTTCGTTAGTAAAATTTCACGAAAACTATACCTTCTTGAATTATCTTTCCCTAACTAAGAAATCATAATTATTAAGTTAATTTAAGTACATTAGAACCCCGGTATTCCGAACTAATTGAGAGTGTGTTCTGTTCGGATTCAGAAATGTTCGTATTGTCCTAAAAATGTACCTTACATATACAAATACATTTATAGGATTACCAGACAATGCAACGTAGCGTGCGATGTGAGAAAATAACAAAGTAGCGTAGCAACATGAAGTGAAAATGTTGAGAAAAACGGAATACGGAACTAATGTTACTGACTGCAAGCAATAATCGTTTCATTTCGACTTGTGTTTTAATAATAGTTGTTAGTTCCTATAAAATACTTTCTTTACGTTACAAATAAGCATTTTATTTGCTTTGTGTATTCTTTCCCCCATCCCGAATTTTAATCGGATTATCCGAGATTTCGGATTTGCGAGGTTCTAGTGTACATAATTTTAGATATAGTATATATGCACGTTTAATTTAGATATATTCGGATTGTCAGAAAATATTCTTGTAAAGTAAATTCAATAATCTGTGTTCTGTATGAAGTTATTCCTAGAAGAATCCACTGAATTTTCTGATGTGAAGTCGGAGAATTAATTTACTCACATTTGTATAGCTGGAAAAATGTAAAATCCGTCTGTGCCTTCCGGTCCGCATGTTGCGCCAACGCTGACTGAGCCTGGCTATCACCTTCACCGCGTTATCTCACAGATATCGATGATAACGAGGACGGCCTCACGTCAGTGGCTAACGTCATGGTTCTAGCAGCGACATAATAGCAGTTTCCAAAGCGAATACTGTTCTCTGTTCTTCTTTTGATTTTATATATAAATATATATATTTACAGTACTTTGTAGAATTACGAGTCCAATACGAACTAACTTGTAGTTGCCGAGATTTTCCAAGAACAAAATAAACTTCTTTTCATCTAGTGAAATAAAGTATTTTGCTACTACTTCATTTTATTTTCTATCCTCTCTTTTACTTTCTCGCTTCGTAGCAAAGAGAAATGTGTATAATACTACGCGAAAAAACAGGGAATTTTCGGCAGAAAAACTCGTGTTACAGGGCCCTGGTAACGAAAAAGTGGATGAATCCAGTTGCAAAATTCAGGGGGAAAATTCGTTAACACGTGGTTTAGCCAGGATCCACGTTCAGTGAGACCTTGATACGGCGAAAGGTCTGTCCTGCCTGTCTGCCAGCCTGCCTGCCCTCTAGTGAACAACGCTGCTGAAACGTTCAGCCGACTTCTCCAATTTTGATATTCCCCAAGCGATCTTACAAATGTCGTGGCCCCTTGAATTTGAAACCGATATTTTAATTTTAGAGGGTACTTTACATTAAGCCCTTTGGACATTTTATAATTTTCAAAAAAATGTCTCCGTCGTTTTTGATTAAATTTTGTTGTTGGATAGTGTGAAGGGTGTTTAAGAGAATAAAGCAGGTTCATGATCGTTGTGAACTTTGATTATTGTAAAATTGCAAACGTTGAATTTTTGCGCAGTCTTCCAACAACTAAAACATTAAAGACATAATTTTTTCCTTCAATGAAATCTATTTCTTAAAGATAGATTTTGAAAAAAAGTCAGGTACAATTTTTCGAAAATTTGAGTACTTTTCTTGTAATTTTGTATGGAAGTACGAGAAAGAACATGCTTTTTTAGCACCACTACATCATTACACAGTAAAGTCATTTAAATTATGTATTATCTACAGCAATACGAGTTTAAAACAAGTTTAATCCTAATCTAAAAATAGCTGAATGCATTTATGTGAAATACAGTAAAATGTCGTATCTTGGACCCAATTAAAGTGTTTTATCTTGGACTGGTTCAAGTTACAATACCTCCAATAAAATTAATATAACTAAATAAGATTTCATTATATTCAATTATGAAATTAAGTGAGTAAATGTGAGTAAAGGGCTTATCCTATAAGTTCAAAAACTACTCTTCCAATTTAGCTGAAAAATTCAAAATGTGTTCTTAGTATTAAAGTGTAGAGTTTGGTTCGTATGAAATCAAATAGAAGGGGTGCTTTCTCAAAAATGGCTTCAATTTTTACTTTTCCTCTGTATGCTAGAGTACAGGGAGGACAAATAAAGGAATTTTATCAATATGATATAATATATTGGTCGTAAACACACCTTTAATGTTATTTTCAGCTTA